GCGGTTTCGAGAGGTCGGGTAGCCAGGCACACACGGACATCCGCCGCCTTGACCTGTTTCAGTGCGCCTCCCCCGTTAGTCCCGACACTTTCAGGGTACTCTTCGATCTGATCGATCAGGCTCGATGTCGATTCCAGGCGGACCGATCCTGTGCGGTTCCCATATTCCGACGGCCCCATGCGACCCGACGTTTGCACGACGCTGTTGTGTATCGGTGCGCAGCCGATCTGATTCGATTCCGACTCGATCCGATTCCTCGATTCGATTTCCCCATTCTCGCCGATGCAGCCCGATACGATTTTTCCCGATTCGACGCTGACCGCTCTGGCCCTTTCCCTTGGGCAGTTTTCATCCTGAGCAGCTTTTTGACGGGGCCAGGGCCTTGCAAGGTCCCCTGGAGGCCGAAAACGACGAAACGCCATCCGTCGTGTTCTTTCAACGACGCGAGGCGTCTGGCTTGCAAGTTCGTAACTCGGGTCTGCGGCGGCTGTTCGGGACGGTTCGGGCACTTCGGGAACGCTCTCGGCGAGGCGCAGCTGCTGGAAGGCACCCTGAGGTCGAAAACCTCTGGGGACCGAAGGACATGCAGGGAGGTGTCAGGCGGGCCCAACTCGTTCCAGAGCGTTCCAGAGCGCTCTCGGGCTCTCGGGGCGTTTCGGAGCGCTCTGGGACGGACGCGGCGCCCGATGCGTCCTTCCTGCCCTCCGGATCTCAGAGACCCCCGATGTAGCCTCACCCGGACTTATCATCCTGCCTCAGCCTTAGTTTGCGGCAGGTTCGCGCCGTGTCGACGTGGCGGCGTGGCTGGCGCGGGTATTGAAGGTTGAAGAGGGGCTTGGAATCGGCCGACATCCAGCGATCTTCGCTATCGGGAAGGTGCGATCGTCCAAGGTTCAACGGCCCACGCGGTGTTAGAAACGCGCAGGCCGTCGCTCCACGAGCCTGCCGCATCGTCGTCTGAACTTTATCATCATCCTACCTTTGTCTGATTGTCGGGGGGGGGGCAAGAAGGGGGCAATGACTAGAGGGTTGAAAATCATGGCAACATCGTTCAACAAAACCTCGACGGGATTCCTGGACCCCGTTTCCCTGAGGCATTTCTCGGGCGGGATCGATCCGTAAGGCTCCCAGTGCCAATGACAGGGTAAGATCGCCCAGTGCGACAGAATTGCGACGCCAGGATCTCAAGTCCCCCCTCTTGGACGCCACAGATATAGTTTACATGGCTCAGATTTGAGTGGGTGGGATTCAGCGGGTGCTCAAGTTAGATTTCGTGGGAGATATTTAGTACGGGTTGACAATATGGGACTCGATAGTTGATTCCTTTTACTTGTTTGGATTGTTTTGATTGGGTGGGATTCAGTGAGTGTTCTGTTGACGTCCTTGATGGGCTGCTGCCGTTCTGGCCCATGCGGATGGGTCAGCGCCGGCCTGTCCCGGCCACGGCGCACCTGCGGCGTCGCAGGGGGGAATCCATTTTTGCCTCCCCTGCCCCCCCGTTCCCTCCCCTCCTCCCTCGGCCCCCTCCCCTTCTCGCCTCTGCCCCTCGTGGTTGCGGGGCGAGGCGTTCGGCCCCAGGGGGCGGCTGCCGCGCCAGAGCTCTGGCGCCAGCCCGTCCGCGCAGGCTGTGCGTTGAGGCCCGTAGGTCGCGCCAGGTTCGGGGCGGCCGGCCGCGCTTCCCACCTTTGATGTTCACTGGATTCGTTGAGCTTCATGTTCATCTGCAGCTTCACCCTGTCACTCAGGGGTTTAGGCTTTCACTGTACACCACCGCCTGGAACGCCAGAATCTGTCTTGGTGCCCTGCTTTCCTCCTCCCCCTCCTCTCCGTGTCCCTCACTCCTTCTGCTCCTTCGCAAACTAGTTCACTGCGCCCCACCGCGTGGCTGAAGTGTGTGGTCGCGGCGAGCCTCGGCTGTCGCCCGCCCTGCCCCTCCTGCCGGACCGGCTTGTGGATCCCGCCTTGTTATGCTCTTCGTGCGTGCTTGTACAGCTAGTGTCAAGTGCAAGCCGCCGTTCGTCCGCATTAGGCATCTCGCTTCTAATTCCCCCTTTCCCTCCCTTGCGCTTTCTCCTTCTCGCTCTTTTCTGTCGTTTCCTATGCGGCGCGCTCGCTCATCCTTCAGACCACGGTTCAGCGCATGTGCTTGCTTGTCGCAGGTCGGCTCGGCTAGTGTTCCCGGTTTGTCTGGCGACTTTTGACTCGCGCAGCCGTGGAGGTTGAGGCGGTGAAGCTTTGTGGTCGCGCTCCCTCCTTCTCCAAAAACAGTGGGTGCTAGTGGGACCTGGTGGTATTTGGTGGAGTCGTAAGTGGGATTTAGTGGTTTTACTGGGGGGCCCACTAAATCTCATGAGCGAGGCACCCATGCGACCACGCGGGGCTCCCATGCTTGGCCACCTGAGATAGTGATAGTGCCTGGGCCTCCCGCCCGCCGCGAGTGCGCGAGGCCGCTCACGCGGCCCATGTGCGCTGCGGCGGGCCGCCCGGGCGGCGAACCGAGGCGCCCCCCCCCCCCCCCCCCCAGCCGCTCCGCGCAGCCCCCGCCCGTGCCCCGCCCCGGCCGCGACCTGCAGCGTGTGCGTCGGGGCTCAAGTGGCGGGGGTGGATGCCAACGGGGGTTTAGCCAGATCGCCGGATCTCACAGGATCTTATAGAGCCAGGGGTGCACTGACCCAGGCTAGGGTGCAGGGTGCTGCAGGATCTCTCAGGATCCTGCAAAGAGTGATTGACCCGGGTTTGGATTGACCTGGGTCAGTAGATCCACGTGCGCGGCCCGGTTGGGCACTGCCAGTGCCCTGGGAGCATCCAGGCGGTGCGGTTACCACATTGTGAGGTGGCTCGAGTGGGGATTGCTGAGATCACCCCTGGGGTTGCTGAGGGGATGGGGCGACTAGAAGCGGCTCCTCAGGCGCATTTTCTGTTAACTAGCTCAGCCTATCAGTTGGCTACATGTGCCCCAAGTAGTTCAGGGTGATTTGATGCGATTGGGGCCTCTGAGGTCCCTGAAAATCATACCGTGCGGTGAGGTCACTTGGGAGTTCCAGGTCACCGCGCGGTGTGCCACCACACCGTCTTGGGACCCCTAAGGTGCCACGTCAGGCGCGGCCTGGCTGAAGCCAAGCCGTTCCGCTCGCGCGGCACGGGCTCGGACTTTGTTGCAGACGTCAGCGGGCATCTGGCGTCAGTCAAGTTATCTCTTTGCGCTCCCGGCCCTCTCTGGGGCCGCCTGGATCGCTCTCGTCGTCGCGGCTCGATTCTCCCTGAATTGCTCGCTCTTCGGAGGGGCTCGATTTATGCACAGCGTTGTTGCTTGGCCACAGAGCAAACGAGTTCGGCGAAGGATCTCGGCGTACAGACGACGCTCAAGCATCCCACAGGTTGTGGAGCTGGGGCGTCTGTACACCGAGCTTCTTGGCCGTCCAGACGGCGTGTTGTACACTTCGAGCCCCTCACGCTAGCTGGAACGCACCCCGGCAGAGGCTCTGGGGCGATGAGGCTGGACTCCCGAGCACACGCGTCCAATGTTTTGTATTGGGACATCAGGACGGATGTTCTCTCGATTTTCGGCCTCGGGGGGGCTCCAGGGCGATCAGACAGCGGCTCAGGATGAACATGCGGGGTCAGGACCTTCAATATTCTAGGCCTCCCAGATGGGGTCCGAGCAGATGGGGTCGGAGGATCGCGCTGCATCGCCGATGCATCTCCGATGCGTTGGCGATGCGGCTCGATGTGGAGCCTGGTCTTCTCCACGCTGGCGTCGCCATTGCATCACCGATGCATCGCCGATGCATCGACGATGTATCGACGATGTATCGACGATGCGGCGCGATCCTCCGACCCCATTTACTCGGACCCCATCTAGGGGGCCTCTAAATATGTCCCAAATTGAGAAATCGGAACGTATACATGATCCTCAGGACTTGTGTTAGCCAAGTGTGTGCTTACCCCGTCAGCTCCACCGATGGCACGCAGCCTGTGCTGGCCCTTCTCGGACTCGCCTGTGTCGTACCGAGGGCCCTGGTGGGCAAGCACACGTTGGCGCCAGCACGCGTCCTGAGGATCATCGCATGGACGCACTGCCCCCGCGGGGGCCCTCTCGGCGGAGGAGGGGGAGGGGACCGGGAGGGACCTGGGGAGGACGATTGCCTTCGACGGCTCGGGGTTTCAGGTGGCCTCCTCTCCGCCTCCGCCTCCTCCTCCTCCCCGCCCGCGCCGGCCCCCCGGGCCCCGCCAGCCGCCGGCCAGCGGACACGCGCGCCTCGCCTCGCCGCGCCTCCCCGTCCTCCTCGTTCCTCCCGCCGTCCGAGCTCGGTGCGCGCCGCCTGGACTCTGCGCGGCCTCCTGGGCTAGACTGGGCGTCGGGGGCGTCTTTCTCTTCGAGGAGGCCTGGCGCGGGCGCGCGACGATGAGCCTCGCTCTCGCGCCTCGCGCGGCCGCGGGGCGCGGGGGGTGATTACGTTGTATCTTCGGGGGGCCTTGCCTGTCCTGTGAATGACGGTCTGCTCTTGTACTCTAGCAGATGTTCGATGCGGATTCGACGTGGATTCTGAATGGATTCGACGCCGATTTGGAGCGTTCGACGCGGATTCGACGCGGATAGCAGCGCGATAGGACAGACAAGGTCCCCTGAAGATGCAACATGAGGGTGGGTGGCCTGCTCCCCCCCACTGGAAGAGTGATGCGGGCTCTCCTGCCCCAACTGTAACGCGAGCAAGCGATTATGAAATTCCTTTGGGGGGTCGCAGCGCTCCGGGAAGTGGACGACTCAAAAGATGGTCCCAGTTCGTCGTCGGCACCGTCGTCGCCGTCGGGGCAGCCATGCCGCAGCCAGCGACCCAGACAAGCCCATGCGAAACATATGTTTAATGGTAACTGCTCGATTTGTTCTTGGTCGTTTGGTCGCATGAGGTCGCTTTGACACCAGGAGGATCCTTGTGACACTCATTCAGCAAGACCGTTCAGACACTGCTTATGGCTTCTGAGAACGTTAAGGCTCCGGGGACCTTACGTGGATTGTAATATGGATTGACACGCGGATTGTCACGTGGACTGTCTCGTGGAATGTCTCGCGGGTTGTCTTCTGCCCCCAAACCCTTCTGATCGGACGAAACGGAGTTGATTGGGAAAGGGGAGGTTGCGAAATTTGCTGCAAGCAGCTTGTTTCTGCCCTGCCGCTGTTCGCATTTCTGGATGCTTGAGTGCCTCTGGCGCCGGGAGTCGCCGGGAACATCAGCTACGTGAGCTGACTTACCATAGTGTACAGGGCTCTGGTCGTGCCGCCGTTCCGTGGCGCTCCGGGGCGGTCTGTGCGGACTCGTCCTGTTTAAGTAGTTTGTGAGTTTTATTTCGACGGGGCAGGAGGGAGGATGAGGAGGGAGGAGGAGGAGGAGGAGGAGGAGGAGGAGGAGGAGGAGGAGGAAGGGGAACAGCAGGAGGAGGAGGAGGAGGGGGAGGGCTGTCGGCAGTCGCCCCAGGCAGTATGTGCCCTCTTGGAATGATTGCGTCGTGTCTGGCTGTCGAGCATGTAAGTGGGCTAGTTCACGGACTGGTTGGCTCGATGGTGGGTCGTGGGCGAGTCGTAGCGTGACTATTTTACGGTACACCGCTCCCCCCCGTCATTTCTATTTTCTCTAATCGAAGACGCCTACTGCGAATCGCCACCACCCCCTGCTTTCTTGAATCGCCCATGTGGCCGAACGTTGTCGACACTGTGTGCCCCCAGTCGTGGTGGAAACCCTTGAGGGAACACGCGGGGGAGAAAGAAGAAGAAGATGAAGAAGCGGAGGAGAGGGATGACACATAGAGAGGATTATGATGATGTTGATAAAGATGATGATGATGATGATGATGATGAGGATGATGATGATGATGATGATGTTGATGATGATGGTGATGATGATGATGATCTTGCTGATGGTGCTGATGATGAAACTGATGATGCTGCTGATACTGATGCTGATGATGATATTGATGTTGATGACGACGAATGTGCTCATTATGATGATGATGATGACACTTGAACTGATGGTGATGATGCTGCTGTTGGCGATGCTGCTGATGCTGTTGATGATGCTGATCCATATTATGATGATGATGCAGTCGATTATGCTGAGGATGACGATGCTGCTGATGATGATTTTGCTGCTGATGATGATAATGATGATGATGATGCGATGATGATGATGATGATGATGATGATGGTGATGATGATGATGATGATGAGATGATGATGATGATGATGATGATGATGATGATGATGCTGATGATGATGATGATGATGATGATGATGATGATGATGATGATGATGATGATGATGAGATGATGATTGATGATGATGATGATGATGATGATGATGATGATGATGATGATGATGATGATGATGAGGAGGAGGAGGAGGAGGAGGAGGAGGAGGAGGAGGAGGAGGAGGAAGAGGAGGAGGAAGAGGAGGAGGAGGAAGAGGAGGAGGAAGAGGAGGAGGAGGAGGAGGACGAGAAGGAGGACTAGGAGACGGAGGAGGTCGAGGAGGAGGACGAGGAGGAGGATGAGGAGGACTCTTGGGGCTTTCTGGGAGCTTCTTGTGGGCCTCTCGGGGGCCTCTTGGAAGCCTCCTTGGGCCTCTTGGGGGCCATTGCAGCTTTTTGGGGGCATCTGTGGCTGTCTTAGGGCAGTCCTGGCTCGTTTGATGTCGTCGGAAGCCGTTTTGGGGGCCTCTCTGGAACGACTTGGGGCCTTCTTTGGGCGCTCCAGTGCCGTCTTGAAGGCCACCACGGGCGTCTTGAAAGGCCTCCTGGGCCGTCTCAGGGCCATCTTGGAGGCTTCTTGGGCCGTCATGGGGTCATCTTGGAGGCCTTTGGGGCCATCTTAGGGCGATTTTGGGGCCCTCTTGGCCTGTCTTGGGCCGTCGGAAGGCCGAAAAGAAGCAAAGGGCAACATCTTTCAAGCACCTAAGTTAAATCAAATATTCTGGCCTCTTCGGGCTTCCCTGGAGGACCTCTTGGAGGCCTCTTGAGCCGTCTTGAGGCCATCTCGGGCAGTCTTGGGTGCATCTGGAGGCCAGCTTGGGCTTTCATTGGCGCCATCTTGGCCGTCTTGAAGGCATCTTGGAGGCCATCTTGGACCATCTCGGCCATCTGGGAGGCATCTTGGAGCCCATGTTGGGCATTATTGGGCGAGAAAGGCATTGACATATACATTTTCCAGATGGCCGGCGCGCTGGGCCGAAGCCCCGGGATCTAGCACGCCAGGCACCCTTGTGATAAATCATCAGGGGGCCGCAGATTTGGCGGCCCTCGGCCCATTCCGCCACCGTGCTTGGGTTGTGGGTCCGAGGCTTTTTGGGGGGTCGTTGGGATCTCGTGGGAAGCTTCTCGGGGGCCTCTTGGTGTCAGATTTGAAGCTTCTTGGGGGCCGTTTGACAACCTCTTTTGGGTCTGTTGGGAGCCTCTTGCGGCCTTTGGGTGGCTTTTTGGGAGCCCCTTGGGGCCTCTCGGGGGCCTCTTG